ATGTAAAATCTTAACCGTTTTATTTACTGCCTACTCTTTTTAATGGAAGGGTATATTGCGAAATATAACCTCAATAATGCTGAGATATTTGCAAAACTCCGGACCGCAGGTGCCTGCGGTGGGAACGAACGCGCTATTGTCCTTTTTGGGGAGTAACGCGTTCACCACCACACCGTCCGGTTCCTTCGTTTCACCTATCTCTCAGCTAGTTCTATTTCCCGTTGACGGGTGATTGCTGCTGGCAGAGATCGATAGACCAGAGAAATATTGCCAAGAAGACCGGAGAGAAATCGAATTATGAAGCGATCAGTGCAGCAAAGGTGATAGGGTTATTTTCTGGGGAGCACTTTGACCGGAACGATCGCATTATGACTTGTCCCTTTAGAAACAGAAGATTACACTTCATCCTATTCAACCGTCACACAAAGTTAGTCGTCACCATATTACACATATGTCAGTTTTGTCTTCGAGCATTTGATTTTAAGCATCTTTCGTCCTGTAGGATGCGTTTATTCAAAGAACCAGTGTAACCTGCTTAGGCTCATCAGATCTGTTGAAGTTTTTTTTAAAGAACTTTTTCGTCTTTGTAACCTTTGTCTTTGTGAGAAAGAAGAGAATTACGCTATAGTTTTGAAACTGTGCTTAATTTTCATTAACTTAAATAGACTTCCAAGAGTTGAGATTAAATGAATAGCTGTTTCAGTTCACGACTTATCACATTCAACTATTACCTTTTTGGCTATGGAGCCTGTATAAACAAATAGGAAGTCATTTAACGGAGTAAGTTTTAGAAGCTTGTTCCCTATTCTGTATTTTGAAGATGCATAGCGGAACTTTATGCGGTTTCGCTTATGTTGTGCTAATAAACAATTCTGTTTCTTTATAAGGGAAAATGAATCTTCTTCGGAGTGCTTCATGTCGGCTTTTGAGGAATTTCCTAGTGACAGTGAGTTCAACGACAACGATTTATTCATTTGTAGTCGAGGGAATTCAATTCCTTGAAGTTTTGCATAACGTTTACTCTTCTTTTTCCGAAGCATTGTTATTCAACTGAGCAAATTGATAATTGTAGTGAATAGTAGCTACTGCAGATTGAATATTGCTTTATGAGTGTAATACCTGTTTCACTTTTCGAGGATAATTTGCTGATAGTTATTCATTCTCCGTAAACTTTTTTCACTATTTTGTACATCTTATGCTTAGAATCTTTCGAAACATTCGCCAAAACTAATTTAACACAACGTTGTTTCATTGCATTGATTGTTCATTGATTTCAATGCATTTCTTTTACGGCCATTGTTTTACCATATGTTTTGTATTCAGAGCATTCTACCAGTGAACCACTTTTGCAAACACTATAGCGTATGTGACGCAATTGGAGCATGTGACGCAGTGGTCGGAGGCGCCCTACGACACATATGGGATCGATCTCCGCCCGCGTAGCTCACCAAGCCTTCCACCTCTCCGAGGTCCGCAAATTGGTATCAGACTTGTCTAGGAAGATAACAGCACTAGCTCGATACATCGTTAGGGTACTGCGAGTCATTGTAAAGGCCAAATATGCACTCAATCACTTCCAATGATACTTAATGAAGTCGAATGCATGGCACATTCTTCAGGGATTGATCAACGTCGAGAGCTTTTTTTGACTTTGTCTTTTGTATTCGTTCCTTTATGAAGGCCATTTCGTATTCTTTATAATTTGAATCATTTCATGAAGTTTGCTATCTTATCATATTTGCAATTAAATACTAACATATTTCCGCTGAATAAAGCTTCATAAAAGTTTACTGAGATATCTCTGCTGTGCAATTGCAAATGCACAAGTTCACTGCAACTTCAACAGGTGGGAAAAATTCTCTTTGTTCTAGTAATGATGAAAAACTCATGCTTTCCGATACTGCTTTTCCAAACTGAGTACACTGCAGCTGTCCCTCCTTAATCTATCTAACTTGTTCTACATAAAGTACTAAGACACGCGATATAGGTATCAGCCAGGAGACGTCTGATCAATTTCTAAGCCGCCCGGCGAAGTATTGCAGGTTATTTCTGGTGATGATTACTGGCACACTAAAAATCAATGATGATTAAAGTGAATGAGTGCTTCTCATCTTCAGCATAGATCAATCCAACATTTTCCGAGAAAGAAATTAGAATCTTCTCTTAAGTTTCGCCGCTCAAGTTTGCTGTCTGGAAAATGCTCAACTAAAGCGACTCTTGTAATAGTTCCCAGGATCGACTTTCTCTTAACCTCGGCATTGGAATATGAATGTGTCGTTTTCTTGTTCAGCAATCGCGAGGTTTTTAAACAGCATACATTTGCAAATATCTCAGCATTTCATACGAGTTATACTTCGCAACATAACCTGCCATTAAGAAGAAAAAGGCAGTAAGTAAAAGAGTTAAGATTGTGATTATAACTAAGCCTCAGCTTAACTGGGTTCAATGCCGATATTGGCTCCCCAGATCGACCCCGTTGACAGGTGATTGCTGATGGCAAAAAAGATCGATAGAAGTAGCTGAGATACGCGCAAAGCAAAGGACCCGGATGGTGTAGTGGTGAAGTGCGCTGCTCCCCGGTAAGGACAACAGCGCGTGTTCGTTCTCCACTGCATACACCTGTGGTCCGGAGTTCAGTATCGCCTTCCTCAGAGCCGCTTTTTCGTAACTTCCAATGAGGAAGTTTAGAACAGCTGATTATATGTTTAAAAACCTCGCGATTGCTGAACAAGAAAACGACACATTCATAAAGCGACTCTCGTAAACCCGGCGTTTGTCGTTGGTGCTTATTGTTACTTGTTTCTGTTAGTTTTACTTTGTAGCGGAAGGCCTTCCGAGTGAACTCCGGTTGCTCAAAAATGGACACCATTTAATCATGGGCATGCGATTTTTTAGATAAAAGTAGTTTTGGGACAACTAGAAAGCTGAAGAATAGAGAACATCATGGAATTATTCCAAAAGCCTGTTCTGTTTCTCTAAATGCATGCATGTAATGTATCTACTACTTTCTGTATGCTACCGCTATTCATCTTTCGAGCATACCACTGCCACAGCTTCAAGGTGATTTTTAACTTATACTGTGTTTACTGCGTTGTTTGCTATACTCGTCACTTTCATATGATATCCAAGACTCATCTAGCGATTAGAATTGAGATAAAGTCAAATACCATTTAAATTTCAACCCAGTGAATCTCCCCAAAGAGGAAAGGTTTTTTTTTTTTTTTACAAATTATCAGTTTTAGAGAACTCTTTTTCATCAGCCGTGCATTTCATAACATCATTGTTGGACAAGACGTCGATAAAGTACAGAGGCGTGGCAAAAGAGCTCAAGCCAGAAAAGCCGTTATTAAGGAAATGCACTTGTAGTTACAGTGCAATGACTTGTGGTGGCTTACCGCTGTAACGAGCCAGTGCTGCTATCCTCCCAGACAAGTCTGGTACCAATTGCCGACGCCGTAGGGATGAAAGGCTTGGTGGGCCATGGGGGCAGGAAACAGTTCCACGTGTGTGTCGCAGTTGCGCCTCCAGCCTTCTACATATCACTTGCAATCCCTGACAATTGAAGCTTCAGTATTTAGCGCTCTGCTATACCAGCGTTTACATAGAGGGAGCTTAATGTTTCCCAATATTAGGTTGTTCAGAAACAAATTAGCATTTCAAAATATTTATTGTTTTAATGCATTTTTCACCAATAAAATACTCTTTCTGTTTCGCAGTATTATACAGCATTAGAAAACTAAGTTTATGCTCTTTCTAACCATATCTTTATATTTTGTCAAAAGTTAAATCGCCTGTAGCATGCAGACTATTACTTCTTCAAGCACCTGACAGCTTCTTGCACGAGAAGTTGTCAACAACCACGACGACGCAAAAAATGCCTCGAACGAAGTCATTGCTTCCGGAACTTCAGGATTTTAGGCAAATGGAGCAAATAAACTTGTTTTTTTGTTGGCAAAAACGAGTGAATTTAATTGGTTTTATTTTGATTAATAAGGATTTGTTCGAAGCAAGTCATGACATTTTAAATAATATAGTTAAAAACGCTCATTGATCTCTAAACAACCTAATAATTAGCTGGGTTTCCAATGAAGGCCTTGTAGTTTTAGAATCGTGTTAAGAATAACCTAGTGTTCGTCACCACTTCCCAGTTAGTCACTACGTCGAAGCCGGAATGGCAGTAATTGCTTGGAGTGGCTTAGTTTTCTACATGGAATGAATGTCAATCTGGATATTTCACTGCCTCGACTCAATAGAATGCCTGTGACGCTCAACAGAATGCTCGCCTGTGACGTGGGCGACTCAGGTACAATTTTCGGTCGATACGAAATGAGGGATAGAGGCATAGAATTGTGTTCAGTGATGTCACTTATGGTTGCCTACCACGCTGGCCTCAGAGCTACTGTTTCGCCAAACCAGGACAATTAGATTTTTATACAAACCTAAGTACGTATAAGTACAACAACGATGGGATAATAAAATCGGAAAAGGTCTATAGAAAGAGTACGAAGAACAAAGTGATTAATGTATTATAATGCAGATATTATGACCTTTGATCTGTACATCACCTTTGACCTACTTGTTTAATTTTTGTGCTACCTATAATTTTAATCTAAACCTATTGGCAAACCACTTATAATCTTTTATCCACCCACTTTTGATCTACTTGTGACCTTTGATTTGCACATAATCTTTGGCCCATTCATTCAATTTTTGACTTGCCTACGTTTTATAGCTGTCGCACTAATAAGACTAAACAGTGAAAAAGTCGCGTTGTTCTAAATATCTGCAGTCAACGTTCGCACTCTACAGCTTCACTGACCTTGGCCTTACTATAGTGCAGCAGATTAGGATGTGATGCTCTAAATCTGTTCGATTTTTCATCACAATAAATAAGAGACCATAATCCAACTGTGTCTCAAATTTATGTTAAAGCGTAATGGAAAAAACCTTTACTTGAAAGATATACAACGATTTGAAAGAGATGCTCTAGCGAACGGAGATCACTGCTGATGATATTTCCTCGACAATGTACTTAAGCCAACTGCTTGTCGTGACTCCTCATACAGTGTTTCGCATGCAACACTTTGCTTGCATTTCTCAACCACTTCGTGAACAGCGAAATCTCTAAAAACGTCAAAGTACTGATCATCATTAGTTTAACTAAATGAAGTGTTTTCTGGGGCAATGATTACAGATGCGTTGTAATAAACTCGTGGTCTCTGGTTCGACCTGTTCTCAACAAGCCTTCTAACTCTTTGGAGTCCGAAATCTTGCACATATTTGTACCTGATTTGTTTAAGGGATAAAAACGTTGATTTGGTACATCATCAGGCCCTATTTAGCCATTATATAGACCAAAGATTTATTTAGACACTTCCTCTGCAGTTAATATAGTCGTATGCTCTGAGCATGTTTTGAAGTTATAATAACACTCTGGACTTTGTCCATTTTATTTGAAATGTATCCAATAAAAACGTGTCTCACTAGATGTTTTAGCTCCTATTTTTACCCATTCGTTTTTAGTGGCAGAGCACGACGTGAAATACAATTTTGAGGGTCCTGAGATATGAGGAAAACTCGGAATGCCATTTGAGATTCGAAATCGCTATAAGCTTTACCGAAAGGAATAGGCAGAAAATAAAAAGTCAGAACTACTGCAACTTCAGCTTAACTAGGTTCAATACCGATTTGTGCTCCTCCAGCTCATTCTCGTTAACTAGCGGCTGTAGAACCCACCGATAGAATGAAAATATGGTTAAGAAGCAGAACAAAAGCCTCGATTGGTGGGGTGGTTAGCACATGAGTACCAGGTGAGGGCGATCGTAGAATTGAAGCTCACCTCAAGTTCCGAGACTTTATTCTGTCGCGCTAAAGCTATGGATGATATGCATGCTATGTTTACTACCACTTTTTTAAAATGACCCATCATCGCATCTATTGTGCGGATCCCATGAATCCCATTACTTCTTGCACTCGATTCGTTTTCATCCCATTCATCGTCCACAATGGCTTTAGAACATTTCGCACGTTGTTTGGGCTCCTCTTTGAGGATGAATGTCATAGAATTCTGGTTGAGTTGATTATTCTTGATATCCTGGAGGTAACCGAATTAAGGTGTTCTCATATGGATTGGAGGAGAGCGTTGGGAAGAGGGAGAAGGTCGAACTGCCGTCTTCGCTTTCTGGTCGGCGGCGTCACTAAGAACTGAGCTACCTTACCTCACTATTAACTACTGTAGTTTACCACAAAATCACGTTGCTGTCAGCATTTGAAATTTTTCAACTGTGATGTTAGGCCACTTTCTCATATGGCCTACTATATCTGGCAACCATGATTCGTTATAGCGACTGGAAATGGGACTACAGTCAATTACCAGGCGAATTATCGGTCAATGCACAAATTCGAGAAAGGGGTTTTTTGTAGTTTTTTGGGAGTGTAATGGAGCTTTTCGCGACTGATGCTCTCTATGACGCCTGCTTTGGATGGGCTATTGAATGGTTACACGAAGTGCGGTTTCTAGAAAAAGGGACAGCTGAAAAGAAAATGCATAAAATATGAATCAAACCAGCTAGTTAAAGAAATCCGTGTACCACATCTGTCTTACTGTGGACCCGGTGGGTTAAGGGTCGAAATACTGACTGAATGTATATTTAGCTCATGTAATGACTTATGGTTTGGTGATGTATAAAGTCAGTGTTTCTCATCCTTTAAGACATCTTTGATCCCATTTAACCAAATCCATGTGGGTGGAATTCTTGCTTGGTTTATGTCATGGATCCAACAAAAGACCACGTTCTTCAGTGAGGACCACAAACGAGTGCGCTGTTGCCTTTCTTTCGTTTACCCTAATTCAGAACAATTTACAGGATAATTTAGAGATACAATTCTAGGGATTGATCTGGAATTCCGCCATTTTTCTTTCTGAAACTTTGGGATTACACGCCTGCTAGTCTGCTGGCACATATTAAGAAATATATTAACGTGGCCAAATTTATTTTAATATTAGCTTTTCCGGTTCTTTTCCTCTGAAACCTAAGTTATTCAAATAAACAGAACACCCACTACAACTTTAAATTCAGTGCATTAATCCATTATGCTCAGCAGCACTATAAAATTAGCTGGGAGACAAGTGAAGCGAAGGACCCGCATGTGTGGTGGTGAACGCGTTAGCCATCGGAAAGGGTAATAGCGCGCACGTTCCCCACCGCAGACACTTGCAGTCCGAAGTTCTGCAAATATCCCAGCTTCACTGTGGTTGTGTTTCTTATCATATCCTGCTGTGCAAAATTATAGTAGGCAGCAAATAAGAAAAAGTTAACTATAAACAGTTATCAACAAAAGATTGGCAACCGTATTGTAACTGACACATCAAATCACGATTACCTAAAATATTGTCCATTACTCTTTTGCGATTTCTCACTAAGCGCCAGATACAACGGCATTTGAGCACCGTCGTTCTCAGTTTTCAGTATGAACCACACGATAGGCCTAAACACTGTGTGAAAAGTTACTGAATTACCACAACCACTGGAAGTGGCAAAAAACGAAGAAAATTCTATTCATTTCTTTTTGAGCACTTCTCACCTAAACACCACACTAAGCCAAGAATATCCGGATTCTCTGAGAATATTTGTATCGACATTGCCAGGATGGCAAACCGCTGCCGTGACGGGAAGATTCCGATCTTCTAGCAGTTTGGCAAGATGTCGTGTATACATTACCTTGAAAGAATAGAAATTCTCTCCTCTAGCAATAGAAGCATGCACTAGAAGTTCACCTGTGCCATTTTACTCCTACTATATGCTATCATTCCACCATAACGCTTCGAATCGTTCACCACATCAAACCTAAATTAGAAGAGAATCCGCATGAATCTTACATTCATGCGAAGATTTGAGTTCATTTATATTAGGTTGTAACACAAGAAATGTTTATCGTTTTAAGTTTCGTGTAGTTTTTTAATAGAGCTTTTTTCTTTATGTATGTATGTCTAGTATTCATTTTTGAAGGCAAAGCCTGCCTTTCCCACTCCTAGTGCTGATTTTTTTCAAGATTTATTATTTTAACGTTTTTATAAGCTTTACTTTGGTATGAATCAACGTGGCATTCGTTTCCTTTTTTGAACGAGTGGAAAAGTGGACATATTGCCACCGCAGGAGCTCGGAATATCATCAACTTTAGGGTGAAGTGTTTAGTGTTGGTGAACCAATAATACAAAAATTGTTCAGGATATTCCGATCTGATGGTTTCGACCTCGAAGTTAGGGAGTACCGCGGACGCCCCAATGGACTTGACGACGACGAATTGAAGGCACTTGTAGAAGTAACACACGAACAACTGTTTGAGAGCTTGCAGGACAGCTTGGCGTAAACACAGGAACAATTTCCACTCACTTGAATCGCATAAGAAAGCCAAAAAAACTCCACAATTGCGTGTCGCACGATCTAAACGATAATAAAAAAAATCGCCGTCTTGAAGTGTCGTCTACTCTTATTCTGCGCAACAAAAACGACCTTTTTCTGGGTCGAGTTGTGACGTGGGAAGAGAAGTGGGTTCTCTATGACAACCGTTAAGCTCAATGGTTGGGTTGGGATCAGCCTCCACAGAACGCTGATTCACCACAGCTTTTTGAATCCGGGCGAAACGATTATGGCAGAGAAATATTGCCAACAAATCGACGAAATGCATGGTAGAATCCAACAACAACGAGCGGCACTATTCACTAGAAAAGGAGCAATCCTCCTCCACGACAACGCCCGGCCTCACGTTCCGGAACTAGCGCTGCAGAAGTTGAACGCTTTGTGCTACGAAACTTTGCCTCATGCGCCATATTCACCAGACCTCCCGCCTACTGGCTATCGCTTCTCAAGCACCTTGAAAACTTCGTTCGCGAGAAATGCTTCACCAACCATGATGACGCAAAAAATGCCTTAAACGAATTCATCGCTTCCAGAACTCCAGAATTTTATTCAACTGAAATAATGAAATTTGTTTCTCGTTGGCGAAAATGTGCTGATTTTAAGATGTACATTTCGATTAATAAGATTTAGTATGAAAAAGCTGTGGTTATTAAAAATCTGCATTTAAAATCGAACATTTCATGTGTTACAACGTAATAAAACTATCGAAGCAAATGAGGCGTAAAACGGGAGGCACAAAGAGAGTGTGACACAGTGGAAGGTGAGTTTTTAGGAGCCTTTAAAACCGAGTATCGTGAAAAAAGCACCTCACACTATCTGCGTATTCGTACAAAACTGATGAAACGTTGATAATTCGACCATCTTGTGATTTGGACAACAAAGGTAACAGTAGCTCAACAAGAAGAAAATGGCCTGTAAAGTCCCAATTGCTTAACTATTTGTAGTTAGTTCTACGTGCTAAAGGTACCAATCTTAATCAGAAAGAAAGCCTCATCTCTACACAGAAACAAACGTCTGTTTTTTCACTTTTGAAATCCAGCACTTAAAATAACATGGTTTTCTTTTTCTTAATGAAGCATAAAATTCATATCCATGATTTATCACCTCATTATTCCTTGGTTGTACTTGGGTGTTGAACAGAGACTTACATCAAAGGTTTAAATCTTCCAGCAAGTCTTCAAGAGCGTTTTTTCACGTTTCCACCCGGAAACCTATCGTAGAGGAAAGGAAAGACCAAAGGTGTAAAAATTCCAGCAATCAATGCCGATCTGAATGAAACATAGCTGCAAGGAATTAGACGTCCCACCGTTAACGGAAACCTTGGTGAACAATTATAAACGTCTTAGAAGGGATTTCACAAGTTCTGGAGACTCAGGCAAAAAAAAAAACTCGCCGTTTAGCCACACGTTTGAATCAAATATCATGTGCTAAGCATCTATAACCTGTTTATTTGGAAGGGACGGATCACCTGCATCTAGGAGGATCATGCGGACCCCAACAAAACCTCCACTTTATTGGCAAAACCATCTATTCCAGCAGCGTCTATAGCCTTGTTATGGCTTAATTAAATTATCGCTACTTGACACCTGAACACCATATTGCTAGGTGAGCACTCCGCTGTCCATGGAGGTTTGACAACCCAGAAGTGGTCCTCAGTCCCAATGAGGCGATATACCATTAAATGAAGTATATGAATTTTGCATTAAACGATGGCAAACTACAATTTGAAAAACTGGAAAATTTTCAGCTTATTACGCTTTAAAGAAGTGATGTCTGCAAATCTATAGAAGTTATCAACGTGGTCCTACAATGATATTTTCACTTGCACGAAATTTACCGACTGAAGAAACCCACATATTCTCCTCTTCTACAACGAAAACATGGCTTCAGAAAGCTTAAATAACAAAGGTACTTTTACAAAGCTACTTATACAAAATCCTTATATCCCGGATCCTACCTAGGTAGTTGCACTGCCAGGTTTTCTCAAAGCCGTCGACAGTCTTCGTAAAGACTGGAACCCGTAAAACGCCGGCGTTGCAAATGAGTATGTCTAGTCGAGGCACCTCTGAACTCATACACAATTTCATCGACATAGAGAACCGTAGATGATTTAACGCATTGAAATAAAAACTTGAAGTGTCAGAATGGATTTAAACGTGTAGGAGGTGAACTTTTAAATGACAAAATTGGTGCGAAAATATAAGGGAGAATATGTTGGCCGTAGGAAAATTTATTTCTAAAAGTCTGTTAACCGTGATTATAATACAAAAAACCACCACAGTTGTCCTGTGCTCAGTAGGTCCCTAAAGAAAAATTAACTCAGCTGCTCAAGCAATGCAGAAAAAAGTGCAGGAGAGCTAGATAAATTGTACAACTTGTTCCATCTGCCGTTTTGACCGTCGAATAGCTCTAGCAGCTCTATGAAAGTCCCCATTTGTCCCAATCGTGTGCAAGAATAGCCCAACGTGGTCTGCTACCTTTAGATACTCATTAAACATCACAACTTTTTTCACTGTTTTCGCGAAGGACTCTGACGATTGCGGCGGTGGTCTTCCTACTGTGCGGTTGGTCGAAATCCTGAGTATCCAATCGCAAACCGCTCTCGTCCGTCGGTTGTTGTTTAGACGAATTGTTTATCCAGCTCGTCTGATATTCGGCACTTTGGTGTGCACGACGTCGTCTGTGACCTTTAATCGCTGTCATTGGAACTTAGAAATTCCTTAATCACTTGTGTTGTATTGAACACTTGATACTTGTCGTTTCAACCACAATTTTGATAAGGTCAAGTAGCACTTTATCCTACACACGTAACATCAGGCTTCCGAAGCATAAGTTAAAGTATTATAAAGAATCGCGAAAAATATGTTAGACCTATCATCAATTGTATAGACGTGCAAACGGACAGGACAACATGGTTCCAAAACGTTATCCTGACCCATTTGCTGAGATTCGTACCAACCCATCTCCCAAATACCAAAATATTCCTAGACGCAACCAAACACACGCGTGTAATGGAGTCATCCTGTGTTACTTCACGTTATACTAGTGTCGAACGACTCCGCAGCTCTTCTTGAGCTGCTCGTAGAACATTGAGAGAGAATAAATATGTATGACTTATCCACCCAACAGCTAGTTATTCTCTTAAAACAGCGCCTTTGTGCACAAATTAGAGCGTTGGCCATGGAACAGCTACTAGCATTAAGCCTTACCACGGTTTGCATGTCTAGGAGGTAAGCTCCAGTTCTCGATCGTCGACGCTTACTCGACCTACATAGACGACTACTTCGTCACCTATTCCGAACAAGAACAGATGGACGAATACTTTCAACTGTTAGATAAACAGTCGGAGTATATAAAATTCTCGCGAGAAAAACCAACTAAGGCCTGACTTTCATCCACAGACATACCAACAAAGCTTGCTGAAAGTGACACTATAACAAAGTAGCAAGGCCAGTAGTAAAAATACACTGGTACACTACTTCTCCTCTCTTCCCTTCACGCAAGGAAAAAAGCACTTATAAAAACATGTACGGAACGGTTAGAAATGTGTGCACAGAAGAAGAGGAACGGAAGGAGTCGCTAAACCTGGCACGAAAAATAGCGAATTCCAATGGCGATAAAGCAGAAGCTACTCAGTTCAGAACAAGAGTTATAATTATTCCCTCAAAAAATGATTCAAACCTAAGTAAGTCGTTTTCAAACTAATTTTCATAACAAACGAAATAATTTATGACACTAAGAAGCGTGTAAGAAAAACTGGTCCTCAAAATTCTGTTGTAATTATTGATCCCCGACCTAGTACACTACGCCGTCAATTAGTGCACAACGGCCACTGTGATCGTTTGCGTAGCTCAGAAAATTGTGTGATCTGCCCTAAAGAAACAGAAGGAGATTGCATGATTTCAGGTACAATATACCTGATTTCATATAAGGTATGCTGAAGAATTTATTGGAAAGACAGGTAGACCAGTTTGTGTCCACATAAAAGAATATCTAGATGGGGATGTTAAAAACCGGCAAAGCACCCATCTAGGTACGCATGGGGCACAAAAGCACGATGGTGACGATTTTGAAGTGATTGCCCGAATCCTAGCGCAGGAATCAAAGACGTCAACGCGCAAGACTCTTGAGGCTTTCTGAATAAATTTCAAAAATCCAAAGATGAACTGGAAAGACGAATGCCTCACTATCACACGTGTTCTGGCGCCTTATTTCAAAATGTTTTTCTGGTTTGGGTGGGTCTCTCTTGCCATCTGACGTGAGCGTCATGCGAGTATTCCCACTCATAACAGCACGGTGAGTAGATTTTGAACAAATTGGCATTTACGAATTATATGGCTGTTGTTGCATAAAATAAGTCCAGGCTTTGAGGAAAGCGAAGTCGCTAAATCATCAGCCATCGAACAATAACAATAACAACGATAACTTGTACCAACTTTGCAACAGCTCAACAAGCGCAGCTTTTAAGAATATACAGATATATCGATACCCTTTTTATGCAATAAAGCGGTGCCGCTAGCCTTCTACTGATTATGAACCATGAATTCTAATAGGCAACGTGTGAATAACCAAGCCACTGTTTTGATGAGGACTGACGGAAGGTTTCTCAGATATTCAGGTCTTATCCTAAATGGGATCGGATGTTGCATCGCTCTTCACTGACGAGATGGCGTGTTGTTGCATATCGGAAGGCAGAAAAACGGACACAACATATCTATTATTCTCTAATCGATATCATAGCAGAAAACCGCGGTTGTTGAAGAGATCCAACTAGGCTGGAAATGATTCTCTTTATTGCCTTTCTGGAAGCCTTAAATGTTTCGTCTAAGCATGGAAGTACGATAGTCTTAGGTTTTCAAGTGACGAACTTTCGGCGCACGTTGCAAATCATCTTCTTACACTTGCAGCCTCATCGGTTTCTGATGCTCCATAAGTTCTTTTATCACCTCTCCGTAGAGTATGCTAACTAGGTACATGAATTATTGTTTGCGTATAACTCGACTGTTCCTGGAAACAAATGCACTTTGGTAGCCTTCGTACTCTCGGCTTCCACACAGAACGTGGAGATGCTGAATAAGCCTGTCGTATTTTTCACCGATATTCTTGATAACGGCGTTTTCTGGAAACCTACAAGTGATCGGAATAAATTTCAAGCTATAGTAATGTTCGCATTTCGTCTTTCGAATTTTGTCGTTTTTCCTTTTTCCGCAAAAAAGGAACCATTGGGAAAGAGGAGATGAAACGATTCCGTATAAAATTTGAAGACATTAGCAACATTAGGTAAGACCTTCCATTTACTATGATGCAGCCAATTTCCTTATAGCACTTTCCTTCATAACGACGATATTAGAAGACTCCTTCCAGAAAGTTGGGATTGAGACCTCTGGAACTGATTAAGCTTTTATGGAATATTCTCTTGATGTCCATTACAAATCCAGAGAGACGCTCATTAGTTTTTTTTCATTCTAATCTGCGGCTTGGTCAGTCATGCCATTTACTGGGGCCAACCGTAGTGTTAAAATCGCTGGTAACGACAACAAAGCATGATCTCTGCAAAACATCCCGAATTCATATAGAATCATTAGATCTCGTCTTTTTCTTAGCTTCATGTGAGTGTGTAGACAATGGACACTATCGATGCTGGCATTGACCAAGAAGTCTTAAACCGTAGGTACCGATTTGGAATGTTATTTGTCCAAAGGTGTCGAGTTTCATGAATAAAGTCATGTTGAGAGGACACCAAACTTGCCGACTCCTCCATTGTCGCTTGGTACGGGAAAAATTTCTTTTCTGGTGTCGTACGAAATGTTAAATGTGTAGTTTTCCTTTACATTTCTTCTGCTGAAGATGTCGCATGTAATCCCCTTAGGATGAATTATCGGGTCGTCAGTAGAGGATTCACATGCAAAGGAGTGGTCATTATAACTACAGATCGTTGTGTTGGTCATTCCAAATTTAGAAAGCGTTGAGTGACCCTAAGATTCCAGTAGCATTCGTCCCACCCCGTGCAGATGGCCCTGGGCCTTTCGAGATATAGGTCCTATATATTTCACTTTTTCGTAACTGATACCCACGAGTAGCTTGCTGAGTCGTCAAAGTAGACGTAGATATGCCAATGGGAATCATCCCGTTTCTTCAGGGTCACACATGAAGCCTATTTGTTGAAGAGGACTCCTAACCACCTCACATATACTTCCCACTCGCTTAATTTCAGACTTCCGTTCCGATTGTTTATTAGTGGAACACTGGTGGACAGGTGAATTAATTGGCTCTTTAATGAAAATCTATCAAATAAAACTGAAAATGTGCAGTTCAGTAATTCTAACCTTCCAAAAATGCCTTGACGAAATCGCGTATTGTTTGAAAATTTGCCAAATCAACGAGTCGGAGAATGAGGCGACTCGGCTCACATCCATTCTAAGCACAACACGATACAAGTGTGGTTGTCTGATGAATAATCTGCGAATTCTCTATGCTAAGGTGCAAATTATTTTTAATAGGAATTAAAGAATAGAAGTCAAAGACATGAGAGTGTGTGATGTTAACCTTCCGAAGCCTCTCAATAGAGTCGCGACCTCGCTGCTCATCGCGGACCAGCATGTATACGGTCGCACCACGTCGGTTTAACTCGGCTGTTATTGCTTGTCCTAGAAAATACAACCCTTTGAAGCCTAACTGTGATCGCAAATGGCTCATAATGTGTTAAAACTAGTTGAACCACTGTTTAGAATCAATGACATATTGTGCTTTTTGTCTCCCCACCATAGCACCAAACTCAACAATCATATTTGTTAAATATAACTTACTTCATATAAACAAAATATGAAGTTATATTTCGCAACATACGCTGCCGTTCAAAAGAATAGGCAGTAAATAAAAAGGTTGAGATAATCATATTTGTTGATTTTTTTATCGTGCACGGAGCTAAATAAATAATTCATGCCATGCTATCCCCAAACCAATGCTTTATGAAGACTGGTGGTTCGACGAAAGATTTTTATCGGTAGAACACCAGTTACTATCGTAATGAGCTTCACTGATGTTATTTTGCTCTAAGCATTCATGGGGGAGGACTACTTTAGGAGTGCTATTTCGGGTTTCAGACTATGCCTGTAGTGCTTAACAAAAGCTAGCCCGATCATGACGTCATCTCATGGCATTTATTCCCTGGAGAAGGTTGCATGTGTCTTACAGTTATTGCTATATAAATGTAAGCTAATCTTCTCCCAGTGAGAAGCTGTTCGACACAGAAAAAAAATTAGTAGAAATTCTATTAACACTGTCCCTTAAAAGACAATTCTAGGAACAATAAAGTAACGAAAACTACGTTCTCGTGCAGTATAATATACGAGTTCTTCAACGTAAGTAAGAGAAGTTGTCGTTGTCGTCAGTACGAAATGTGATGAATGAGGTTGAATCAACGAGAAACAGTTGGCCATCATGACTTCAAAAAGTGCTATCTTTTCTTCCTTTGTTTATTTTTTTAATTACACGATGTAAAATAAGCATCAATCTTGTTTTGGAACAAAGAAGGAAATACCATTAGTTCTGCTTCTGGCGCGCAAAAACACATGGATTTCACAAAAAAAGGCGCATGTGGCACGCCTGTTTTGATGTTCGCAAAGTTTTAAGCTCTAAAATCACATTAGTAAAGTCCAATTCATTGATGAAAAATATTATACGCAAACGAGAAACTACGAAGT